AGATATAGAGATAAATAAATATAATGTTATTTTATATACCCCTGTACATTTCGCTGTCTTAGTACTTTGACTTTTTACAACGACAAAGTTCCATCTAATCTAATTAAATTAACCAATCAATCAATGTGCAGTTGGTGCAGTTTAATGACTGAGTCAGCCTGCAGGGGGAGCTGACGAGTCAATACTCTGGGCCCTGTTGCATTTTGGGAAATGTAGTAATGATTTGTTTTTATTTTGGTTCTTTACAAGTTATTTAAACTTTATTAAAAGAAAATGGACACGGTTTCTACCTTGTTCTGTTTCACAATGATCTTGTGTGACTGGCTGAATATTTCCTTGTTAATAAATAAAACTACAGACTCCGGGTGGACAAACTCAAGACTTTATTTCTGTTACAGCTTCTTAAAAACACACATTTAATGGTTTTGTTCATAAAAAGTGGTGTTAAACCTCCTTCTTAAACTGACATCTTCACAACACACAGATCAGTTTACGATTAACAGAAAACATTACAGAAACTAAAAATGATTAGTGATAATTATTCACTTCATAAATGACTTCAAATGACAGTTTAAAGTAATTTAATTGATCATTGTATTTGATTTAATCAACGGTAGCAGGCAGAAAAATAAAACCTACAACTACAGAAATTTAAAAAATACCCAACACGTGATTATAATCTGAGCCTGAATGTATTATTAAAATAATAATATTAATAATCAACATCACAGCAGGTTCAATATCAGACCATCACATCAGCTCACACTCTGATTTTAGCACAGATCCTCTTCTCTTCCTCTCTGACTGCCAGATGTCTTTATGCTAAGCTAAGCTAGCCGTTTACAGTCTTTATGCTAACCTAGCAGCTGTTGAGCATACAGACACGAGAGCATCGATGTGATCATATGAGCCTCAAGGAGGAAGAGAAGATGGATCCTTTATTGTGAATTAGAAATGACAATAATCAATTATCAATAAGGGCTGAATCGATACAGATGATCAGGTAGGTTCCTGAGACAAAATCAACCTGCTGACAGAAAAAGAAAAATGTGATTTCCCTCCGACCCCCCACTGAAGACTACTTCTTCTAAATCCAACACAGAGCTGATCCAGATTTTATTCCTGAGATCAAAGATCATCAATCAACAATCAATCAACATCTGATTCACATGAATAACATCTGTTAAACTCAGTTCTGAGGTGGAGAAAACAAACTAACCCCTCAGGCCTGGTTCGGTTTGGGACTCTCTGGGACTGTCAGAGACTCCACTGAGGACTGCTCATCTGGACCTGGAAGCAGCTCCTCCTTATCACTGCAGACACAAACACATCATCAATATTCATCCATTCATCCATCCATCAATATTCATCCATCCCTTCATCAATATTCATCCATCCCTTCATCAATATTCATCCCATCATTTATATTCATCCATTCATTCATCCATTAATCAAAATCAACAATAATAACGTCAATAACAATAATAAATATTGAACAATAATTGATCAAATCAGAGTCCGTGGCTCAATAACAATAACTGGAGTTTATCATCAGGTATGTAGTGCCAGGTGAGCGTTACCTGAAAGACGAAGCCCGGCGGGACAGACCGCCGTGCCGTCTCAGCGTGATGATGATGAGCGTCGCCAGGAGAAGAGCAGAGATCGCTGCCACGGTGACGAAGAGGAAGACAGCTGGAATAGAGACAGGTTGAAGATCATGCTAGAGTCATCAGTCACACACTGATGTCACACTGATGTCACACTGTACTGATGTCACACTGATGTCACAAAGATGTCACACTGTACTGATGTCACAAAGATGTCACAAAGATGTCACACTGT